TCTCTCTCTCTGTGTGTCTGTGTGTGTGTGTGTGTGTCTGAGTATGTGCATCTCTTTTAACTGTGGGTGTGTGAGTGAGTTTGCGTACACATGCATGTAGAAAGTCCACCTCGAACCCCCTCAACCCCAGCACATATCTTCAAAACAAGCCCTGAACAGATTTGTCTGCTCACATACATTCCAGTCTGGCCCTCACCAGATGGGACTCCATGGAATTCACCGGAAATCCCTGGAAAATCCTTCATGCCCTGAAACTCCTCAGAACTCCCTGAAAAGACTAGAACTCTGAGTTCTGGACTGACCATGCTGTGCTCATCTTGCCCAACTGGACTGGTCCTACCCGATCGACTTCATCAACAACAACAAAAATGCTCAAGGCCCTACTGGGCCTCGATCTGCCCTACTGGGTCCTATTTTCTGTACGGTCAGCCGCCCTAAGTGAAGGCAGGCTCGACCCAGGGCCTACAGGCCTGTTTCGGGGTCACCACGCAACTGGGTAAATTCAGGCAGTTGCGCAGTGCCAGTTGGTTGAGAGCACCCAGGCCCAGGCTGTCTCTTTTTGAATGTAACCGAGGCAGGCCCTGGGCCAGATTCTCATTATGGACCGAACATAGGCTGCAGGTAGTTGTACACGGGAAACCACCACAGGCCCAGGGCCTGATTCGTTTGGTCTGGGGCTCAGCCTCTCTGGGCCTACCGGAAGCTTCAGGGCAGGGGCCCAGCGCAGCCAAGCTGCACGCAAGGCAGGCAGGCCACTTCCATTTAGGAAAGGGCCTGCCCACGCATTCGGCATTCAGGCACTGGCTGCATGCTGCGCTAACGCTGGCCAGCGCTCACATGCCCACGGGCGAGCTGGAAGGAGCAGGCAGCCATAGCCGAGCTGCGCTGCTGTATGCTGGATGGGGTGCATGGTGGTTCTTGGGTGCATGTGGCATCTGTGAGTTGGGGATCGAGGTTGTGAGTGATACGAGAGACATACCTGGTGCTTGAGGCGAACGGCATTGGCCGAGATCTGGTCGTACTTCGGGGAGCTGTTGACGTCATCAACCGCATTGTAGATAGGCTAGATAGGATCTGCCATTTGTAGTCTGGGCGCCGAGCGCCAGATAGGATATCGACATCGGTTCTTCGTTGATGATGATAAGACTATTCCAGCATTGTCAATTATGAGCTTTTGCTGTGCTCTTATTTGATGGAACTCGTGATGCAATTCTGCTATTAGTTCGAGGTCACGACTATCTGGTCTCATGTGTATGATGCTGTTTGATTTCTGAACTTCACTATCGCTCATTTTTCCTTGCACAAATGCTGCCCAACAGCGTCAACATCCCATCAAGTCCTTTCACCTCGAAACCTTTCAGTGAAAACACACTTGCACTGAGGTGACAACGGACCTCCAAACATAACAAACGCCTGAAGGGCTATTCTTCATATGCTCTGAAAAATGAGGGTAGTGAGCAAAAGGACCCTTAAAATTGCCCTCTACATGAGCAGTGGCGGAACGGACCCATGAAATTGCCCGTTGCATGGGTAGTGGCGTGGATGACTTTCAGAATAGCCCTCTACATGGTTAGTGGGGGAAAGGACCCTTCAAATTGCCTTCCGCATGGATAGTGGGAAAAAAGGACCCTCTTGCAATGTTCTTCAGTTGGAGTACCAGTCTTCCCTCTTGCAATGTTCAACAGACAGAGTAGCAGTCTTTCATATTCTTTGTCTGTTTTCGCACACACTGCCCCATTCATTAGGGGAGTCAAGCCAGAGCAGACAGGTTGGCAGTAGCGACCTGTTTCTGCTTCCAAGCGAGAGCAGAGCGGTTGGCAGTAGCGATCTGTTCCTTTCTGCTTCCAAGCGAGAGCAGAGCGGTTGGCAGCACAAGCAGAAAGGAGGGCAAAAGACGCTCAAATAAAGAGGGGGGAGGGGGGGGGGGGGGGGGGGGAGAAGCCCCTATGAATCGCTGATGGCCTCTCATCTGCTAACCTAGTGATGAGCGGTACGATGCAGGGCTGCCAGGGAGCTCCAGATAGGAACATGGAAAACCGAAACATTGTCCACCAAAGTCTCCAAAATATTCACGGCACAGGCCCACAAAAAGACAGGGAAATGGTTGAGGACCTGGCAACACAAAAATCCTTTTGCTTCTGCAAACAGTGTATGGGGCTAATGTCGGCTTCACTGTGCGCCAATGTTACGCTCCATAGTGAACAATCATGTAACAATTTACTGGGGCTTATGTCGGCTTCACTGTGCGCCAAAGTTAAAGCTCCATAGTGAACAAATGTGTAACAATTTACAAACAACAAACATGTTTCTGCAGTTCGTCTCGATAAATTGATACCATACATGAGTTGTGGCAGTGAATCGTTTGAACTGCCAAGGTCCATAGGGTGATTTTAGGGGTCCTTTACCCCACTACCCATGTCAGAGGGCAATTATAAAGGCAGGAGAAAAATGGAATACAAGGGCGACGGGGCACGGGGGGGGAAGGAATGGTCGTTTCGTGTGACTGCTTACAACTGTGGTTTCTCCAATACCCTCGTCCAGCCATGAATCATCCATGCTTTCCAGAGAAGGATGAGTGCCTCCATCATCACCCATAGCCTTCTGCAGAGCAACTCTTTTCTGCTGCCTCAGCTTCAATCCCAACTTCTGGAGATATCCCTCAGTCTCCCTTAAGAGCTGCTGCACACGGTCTGTCTTCACTTCCTGCGCGACATATTCAAGGATTGGTAGGGTGCAAAGCAGAGTCAATTAAAGAGTCTACAAAAACAAAAAATGGTTCGATGCTACCAATCACGGGGTTCGAAGCAGAGTCAGAGAGAGAGAACGAGAACGAACTTGGTCCTGGCATTACAGTGCAGCAAGATGAGAGGTGCCAGCAGCAATCAGGTGGCATCCAGACAGCAGGAACATCAACCCAAAATGAAAATGGGTGTATAGCAGGGTTGCAAACCCACCGACTGCCTACCCTGACCGCTAACCGTTTTGCAGCTTACTGGTAGGGCGGACTGGTCGGCAGTCTGCTGACAAGTCAATAAAGTTGAATAAACAATAATCTACATTTTCTTTTTTTTCATCTGACTATGGGGCTGTACTGCACTTGCAGCCCAAATCCACTGAGAAACGTTTGGGGATG